GTTGGGATTTACGTCACAAAAGAAAGGAGAGGCATTTGTCAGCTTCCCCTCCTGCACTTCGAAAAGTTATGCCAGCCACTGTCTGCATGTTTATGTTACGAACATGCCCATGCTTCTTCAATCTTGTTACACTCTTTACATATTCATTTTTGTGTGTTACTCATCTGATTTCCGTCAGTTAATCTCACCACCTTGAAGATCGACAGAGCTTCGTTTCATAACTCGTGTGTTCTCATTCTTGATCTGAACTTGTCAGAAAACCAATCTGAAATTCTCACTTCTGGATTCAAATTATGAAATTCTCTAGAAATAGAGGCGAAGATATCTTTGTTTCGCAAGCGTCAAAATTATTCTTACAATTTCTCTCTCAGGAAGGCAATTATCATACTGGACTAATATGGACTCTCCCACGAAAGTCCTTACCCAAGGACACGATACAACCAATCGATGCCCATTATTTCACATTTCGAAGCTGAGTTCGAAAGCTGTGCAGCTCCATAACAGACATAACCATTCTTGAGTCCCAGCAGCACAGACCATTCATGCTACGAATATGCAATTGTGTGTCATCTTGAGATACATACGCAGTGCCTAGCAAGATAAATATTCTTCTGTTGAGTACCGCTTCTGCTTCATTCTGGGTTGCAATGATATCTGTGGTTCCTTCTGCCAATGGGACGGCCAAGCACGGAAGAGGTCGTTACCAAGAGAAACTAACAGCCATTTCGCCAGTAAGTCCTGATTCAAGGAGAAATGTTTCCCCTGCCGACGCTTCATGTTAAATTTGGTTTAATGAGATATTCTCTTAAGGCTGTGGGCTGAAACGGTAGTGGGTTTCTCTATTTGAAACGGGAATCTTCGTGACTCAGGGGGCCGAAATCAAAGAAGGGACATTTGTGGGCCCCCAAATTAGAAAAGTCATGAGACATAGCTCGTCTGATGAAATTGTAATTGGAGTTGAAGGTACAGTTTTGACACCATTTAAAGATGAGAGAACAATTTCCCCGGTCACGAAACTTGGAGAGGTTTGTTGAGGACTTTTTCAATGTCTCGAAGTCAAGAAATGCAAAATGCATTTAAACATTCATTTTTTCTGACTCATGCCTCTACTTATTCCCAAAAACTTGTTCGCAGCGATGAGTATGGGAACACTTTCATCAAGAAATACCAAAGAAGGAGGAGGTTCCGAGGGAAAGCGGAGCCCCAGTATGTTGGCCGACTTTTGTTGGACATAGGTGGGAAATACAAGCCTTGTCAAGGCGATCTGCATTTCAGTTGAGTTCAACATGCTACTCCCAATTCAATGTAATTTCTTCTTGAAACCGGTCGAATTTTCATTTTCGATTCACTAAAAATCCGTGGATGATTGGATAGTTTTGAGGTTATTTTTGAATTTAATATTAAAAACACCTGCGATATTACAGTTGTCACACGAGTGACAAAATAATTCGTTTCTGCCTTTCGTGGCCTAATTAAAGGAAATATCCTGGGATTTGTTTCGAGCGATTCAGAAAGACAATGGAAAGCATCAGCTAGTACAGTTAGTGTCTCGGCCGAGAGTAGAATGGGTCAACTTCAGAACAGAATTTAGAAGTGTTTCGGCTTGAGGCAACGTCTTGGGTTAGAATCTAACATCTTGGGCAATATCCTACGGTGAGTGGAACTAGAGTTGTCCCTGGTCTTAACTAGCAACTATGTTGGGCCTTATACGTATTATTAGACTTGCATGAGGACTTGGGGCATAATCCCAACGATTTCTTGACCTGGGCATTGTATGAAGGAAAACAGTCAGATTCACGGCACTAAACTTCAAACCGGGGGAATGAATCCTCGGTACCCACTAGAGAGGAGGATGGACAGGCCCTAGGTTCGATCTGGATACTGTGATGTCGAGAAAAATTTCTAGAACTGGCGAGAATCGAACCCGATTCTACACCCTTCCAGAACGTAACATACACATATAATGTTATACGAAATCTTTGCTATGCCGAGGAGACGCCATTAAGTTCCGTCTGGAAACGTGGAATTCGTTCGTATAAGAAATATGCACAAATAAATAATTTCTGTTTGTGTCGTTCTGGCGAACAAGAATTTTCTCGAGTTACCCAGAACATTAAAAAAGTTGTAAGGGAGTCTGCGAAGAGAAAATTGTGTCGGTGCAGTTAGTAACAGATATGAAGTGAGCAAGGAAGCTGAAGAATCACCCTTGTTAGAAGCCGTTACCAGGGAAGGACTGGTACAGACAGCAGACTGAAAGACTTAGCGTGTGTTTTATTGATTTGTAATTTGTGGAGATTAGTTACGGAACTATAACTAAGCAGTCACCCGTCGGCTGTATAAGTAATCAGTAATTCCAATCTCCAATCCAAAACCCGTCTATCGTCACACCCATACACGTGGAAATACTCGTACCAATTATTTTGTCGCTTAAAGCTTAATATGAAGTCTGTTTAGAAGAACATTTCAGAGGTATCACTTGGTTTGCCGAACACGAATGTTTCATGCTTTTAAATTGGCCGTCATGCTGAAAAACATGTTACTTATTACTTACACACGTAATGTCTCAGATATTGTTGTCCTATTTTGGCCAAACCGGGAGTATGTCGATAAGGCTCCGTAAAATATCCACATGTAAAAATTCATGAAAATCCCTCATTCGAGTTTTTATATACGGTAAAACAGAGATATATGATGCGCTTCTGCGGCTCTTCGTTGGGACAGTATCACAGAGCAGTACGTTTATTCTGACCACGTCTGTACTGCTCACGTTACTTGTGGATAACCATTGCTCAGATGAAGGGAGAATGGATGTTATTTGTAAGGCTAATGTAGCAGAATAAAGTAATATTGGGCTTTGTCTGATTTTAAAAATTAAGGATGTTAGACAAATGGAATTGCTTACTGTTTATTGTGGCATTTTTATCGAGCAAGTTAGTGCAGCGGTAGCGCTGTTGATTTGCACTCGTGAGTTTTGTTTCGGAGCTCGATCGGGACACCAGCTACCGTGACTGAGAGTTTCCGTGGTTTTATACAGTCTCCAAAGAATGCCATAATATTAACTTAATACATCTGGAACTCTTCCTTCCAACTCAATCACCAGTCATTCTACAATTCGGCACCATAACGGTGTAACCTGAGATACTGACAGCGGTAAGTAAAGTAAAAAGAAGTAAAGCTATCCTTGTACCAGGCTGTGAGATGTTGAGGGTCCCACATTATAGACAATTGGCTCAAAGATGGCGGTAAGGTTGTCAGCCTTACGGGCCGGCCGCGCTTTACTCCCCTGGAAAATTATTTAATTAATTCCTGGTACTCATTTCTGTTAAGACGCTGAGTCGACCCCACGGCCTTTGTGCAGCTGGAAGGGTTAGGTCAATTGAAAAAATCCAATAACCTCATCGGGACTCGAACCCGAAGGTCGCCTTCCGGCTTGTAGCATAGCTCCTCAACCAACTACGCTAATGCGTGCCCCGATACTGACAGCGGTACAACACAAAATACCAGTCTCGTGAATCAGCGCTTCTGTTTAAAGTACACCAATTAACTAAAGTTGCCGTACTCGTACAGTAACATCATACTCCTAAGGCCGCGTCATAGCTCAAGCGGTTAGTCGCTAGCTTCCCAACGCGGCGGCCTGGGTCTGGTCAAGTGGGATTTGTGGCGGACAAAGTGGCGCTGGGGTAGGTTTCCCCCGACTACTTCGGTTTCCCTTGCCAATCTTCATTCCAACAAATTCTCCATCATCATAACAGGTACAAC